ACCTCCTCCCCGTGTCCCCCTGCTCCCCCCCCCCCAACCCCTCCGTGTCCCCTCCGAGGACGCACAGCCACTCCCTTCCCACTTCCCTTTTTTTTGGGGAGAGGCCCCAAAAAAATATCTGTGCCCCCCCCCTCCACACAGGCACTGCAACATGGTGTTGGAGAACGTGAAGGAGATGTGGACGGAGGTGCCCAAAAGCGGGAAGGGGAAGAAAAAATCCAAACCGGTGAACAAGGACCGCTACATCTCCAAGATGTTCCTGCGCGGCGACTCCGTCATCGTCGTCCTCCGCAACCCCCTCATCGCCGGGAAATAGAGGAGCCCCCCCCCCCCCCAAATTAAAAAAAAATTTCCCCCCCCCCAAATCCCTCAGGATCCTCTGGGACTTCCCCCCAAACCACGCTGAGATCCCTCTTTTTGGGGTGCCCGGCCGGGTCCTGGCGATGTCACACTGAGCCCCTGCTGGGCACCCCCCCCCCCCCCCCCAATTCCTAGTGGGCCCCCCCAACACCTTGTGTGTGTCCCCCCCCCACTCACACAGGGGCTTCGTCCCCCCGGGGGAATTTGGGGGGTAACTGAGCCCCCCGAGGGGGGTAGAATTGAGTGTCGTGTGTGTGCCCCCCCCCGGGGGGGCGATAGAAATTCCACGTGTTTCATTTCCGAGTTAAATAAAGGTGGCCTGTCCGCCTCTGTGTCCAAATTGGTAATTAACAGGGGTTTTTAATAAAATTAATGAGCTATTTCCGTGCTCCTGTTTTTTTCTCTGGTGTTTCACACCCCCCCCCCCCCAGTGTCACCCCCAGGGGACACAAATGTCCCCAGCACTGGCTGATGGTGGCCCAGTGACACCCCCCCCCGGGGTGGCCGTGGGGACCCTGGCAGGAGGGGGGGGACCCCGGTAGGGGGGACACATGGGGACCCCAGGAGAGTGGAGACCCCAGGGGGGGACACCCCCCCCAGGGCTGACCGTGGGAGCTGGAGCAGCTCTGGTGCTGCCGGGGCGGGTACACGCTGCTCTATACTGGGTGTTCCCCCCCCCCCCCCCGCCGGTGTCCCCTCTGTCCCCCCCAGCACCCCTCCATGGAGGGGGTCCCCTCCTGTCCCCATCCCTGTCCCAGTACCCCCCCACCCCCTTGTCCCCACCCCCATCCTGGGGACAGCCCCGTTCCTGATGGTTTTAACCCCAAAACTTTATTTGTTGGGGGGGGACGGGGACAGTTGGGGACTCCCCCCCCCCCCCCCCCCCCCCCCCCCAGCCAGGCACTCGCTGCATTGGGCAATAAAAGTCCCTTGTGTGTCTGTGTCCCCCCCCCCACGTCCCCACTGTCCCCAAACAGGTCAACAGCTTCAGCAGAGCATTTTATGGGGGGGGGGGGGGTAGGAAGTGGGGGGGGGGGGGTCGGGGCACCCCCCCCTCAATTCTTCTTGGGCATCGAGGCCTGAGCCAGCGACCACAGCGCGTAGCAGGTACCTGGGGGGGGGGGGGGGTATGTCAGTGACCCCCCTGCCGCCCCCCCCAAAGGACCCAAACATCGGGGTGTCAGTGTCCCCCCCCCCCCCCCCCAGCATCTCAGTCCCCCTTAGCATGTGTGTGCCCCCCCCACACACACACCACAGCACCCGGGTGGACATTCCTCCCACCCACACCCCCCCCCCAGTTAAAAATAGATCCCATCCATCTGCCCCCCCCCCGGCCCCCCCCGCGTACCCACGGAGCAGATGAGGGTGGTGAGGTGGTAAAGGGCCGAATCCATGGCCCCCCCCTTAAGATGAACCGGGAGCCCGTTGTCCTCCTGGGGGGACACACACACAAACAAAAGGGACATCAGGGGGTTCGCCCCCCCCCCCCAGGATATCCGCCCCCCCCCGCCGTTGTCTGTGTCCCCCCCCTCTCACCTGGAAAAGCTTCTGGTGCTCCCGGACGCGGTTGTGGAGGTGCCGGGGGGGGGCGGCGGGACCCAGCGAGCGCAGCAGCCCCAGCGGGGCGGCCTTTTTGGGGGGGGGGGTGAGGGTGGGGGGTGTGTGTGATGTGTGTAAACAGGGGAATCCCCCCTCCAAATTCCCCCCCAGGTCACCCCCATAACCCCCCCCCCCCAATAAATCCCCCCTCCTACAGAGACACACACCCCCCCCCCGCTCCCATTACCCCTTCACAGGGCTTTTCCCTTCATTCCCCCCCTTAAAAATACACCCCCCCACTAGGGATGACCCCCCCACCCCCCACTATTCCCCCCTCAATCCAGGCCCCCCCTGACCCCCCCCCTCGGTACCCGCAGGACCCTCATGTTCAGCCCGGCCCGATCGTCCTCTGCCACCGCAAAGGGCACCGGGGGGGGTGTGGACACGGGGGGGGGCGGACACGGGGGGGGGGCGGACACGGGGGGGTGTGGACACGGGGGGGGGCGGACACGGTGACACCCAACCCGCGCGCGTGCTGTCACGTGTGCCAGGGTGCCCCCCCCCCCCCCCCGTGTGTGTCCTGTGTTCCCCCCTCCCAGCGCTCTCCTGGGTCTCCCCCGGGGCCCCCCCCCGTGTCCCTGTGACCCCCCCCACGACCCATCACCCCGTCCCCAACCCTGTGACCCCCATGTCCCTGTGTCCCCCCCACCCAAGTCCTGTGACACCCGCCATGTCCCCCCCACCCCATGTCCCCATAACACTGTGACCCCCCCTCCAATGTCATTGTGTATCCCCCCCCCCCCCCATTCCTGGTGTCCCCTGTGTCCCCATGGCCCTGTGACACCCCCCCAGTCCTGTGCCCCCCCCCCATAACCCCAGGGGGGGACAATTAGGGTCTGGGGGGGGGGGTCAAGGTGTTGGCACAAAGGGGAACATTTCGGGGGGGAGAATGAGGGTAAAAGCCGGGGAGGGGGGGCACTGAGGGGTGTTGGGGGGTCCCAATCCCCGGGGGGGGGGGCCCTTGTGTGTGTGTCCCCCCCTCAGCAGCAGCACAGGGCTCTTGGCAAAGGGTTTTATTGAGGCATGACCCCCCCCGGCCCCGATCCCCCCCCCACCCCCCCAAAAAGACACCAAATAAATATACAATAAAAAGCAACCGGCGTTAAAAAGGGCAATTTTTTGGGGGGGGGGACAGGGACAGGGTCACAGCATGGGGGGGCCCGGACTATCACACAGTGATAAGGCGGCGGTGATGAGCCCCCCGGGGGGGGCAAGGGGGGGGCAAAGTCGAGGGAGGGGGGGGGCTTCACAGCTGTACAAATATACAAAGAGGGGGGGGTTTGGGGGGGCCCCAGCTTGGGGTAGTGTTTGGGGGGGAGAATAGGTCCTATAGGTGCCCCCAGGGCAATGGGTGCCCCCCCCCGGGGGGTAATTGAGCCCCGGGGGGGGGCAGAGAGCCCTTAATTACCCCTGGGGGTATGGAGAGCCCCCCCCCTGCTGCCCTGGGGGGGGGGGGGGCGGGGCACATAGAGGCTTTAACTACCCCTGGGGAGGCCTATAGAGCCCATGCGTGCCCCAGGGGGGTACAGAGAGCCTGGAAGTGCCCGCGGGGCGGGGGGGGAGGCGTACGGCCAGCCCATAAGTGCCCCCAGGGGTGTAGAGAGACTGTAATTGCCCCTGGGGGGTGTATAGAGTCCATAGGTGCCCCCGGGGGGGGGCGGTACACAGAGCCCATATGTGCCCCCAGGGGGTCTACAGAGCCCTTAAGTGCCCCCAGAGGGGTGTATAGAGCCCACAGGTACCCCCCCCAGAGGGTATAGAGATTGTAATTGCCCCTGGGGGGTGTACAGAGCCCATAGGTGCCCCCAGGGGGGTAAACAGAATCCATAAGTGCCCCCCGGGGGGGGTGTACAGAGACTGTAATTGCCCCTGGGGGAGGTACGGAGCCCACAGGTGCCCCCTGGGGGGTATACAGAGCCCATAGGTGCCCCCAGGGGGGTGTACGGAGCCCATAGGTGCCCCCAGGGGGGTATACAGAGCCCATAGGTGCCCCCAGGGGGGTGTATGGAGCCCATAGGTGCCCCCTGGGGGATGTATGGAGCCCATAGGTGCCCCCTGGGGCAAGCAGGGAGGGGGAGCAGGAGACCCCCCCCCCCCCAACCTCCCTGGCACGTCCCGAGTTCGCAGGGAGCCGCCGGGCTCAGCTCGGGGGGGAGGCAGCGGGGAGGGGGAAGGTGACAAGAGCCACGCTCTGCCACCACCGGTGTCCCCCCTTTCTAGAGGGGCGTCCCCCCCCCCCCCGGCGGAGTCGGGGCGTCACACGAAGACCTTGGCGAGGGCGTCGGCGCCGGCGCTGGCGCTGAGGGCGCGGCTGGGGTGGAAGGCGACGGCGTGGACGGCCTCCTCGTGCTTTTTTGCGGTGGGCCGTCAGCTCCTGCACGCACGTCTTGTGCGCCAGGTGCCAGAGGCGCAGCGAGCAGTCGTGACCTGAGGGGAGGGGAGGGGGCGCACGCACAGGCGTGACACGCACCCCCAAATGGGGGGGGGGGGGGGGGGGGGCGCCGTGGAAGCCGGAGGGGGGGGGACTGAGTATCCTCGATGCTCTGGATTTGGGGTGGCGACAGCGGGGAGGGGACGGGGACAGGGGTGGGGTGGGGTGGGTGAGGAGGGCTGAGACCCGGCGCGCTCGTGTCTCAGCTGAGCGGCAGGAGAGGGGCTGGAGGTGGGGAGGGGGACGGGGTTGGGGACAGGGACACTGCTGGGGCACGAGGAACACGGGGTTGGGGACAGGGAAAGGGTTGGGGACAGGGACAGGAACACTGCTGGGCACGAGGAGGACGGGGTTGGGGACAGGGACACTGCTGGGCACGAGGAGGACGGGGTTGGGGACACTGCTGGGCACGAGGAGGACGGGGTTGGGGACAGGGACACTGCTGGGCACGAGGAGGATGGGGTTGGGGACAGGGACACTGCTGGGCACGAGGAGGACGGGGTTGGGGACAGGGACACTGCTGGGCACGAGGAGGACGGGGTTGGGGACAGGGACACTGCTGGGCACGAGGAGGACGGGGTTGGGGATAGGGTTGGGGACACTGCTGGGCATGAGGAGGACAGGGTTGGGGACACTTACTGCCAGACATGAGGAAGACACCGTTGGGGTCGACGGCCAGGCAGGTGACAGCGTCCAAATGGGCCACCATGGAGTGTACGACTTGACCTGGGGGGGGGGGGGGAGAAACGGGGGTGGCAGCGGCGACAGGGCTGTCCCCAAGCCCGTCCCCGTCCCCACCCTGAGGCCTCGTTAGCGCTAACGAAGCCGCTGCCAAACCTGTCCGGTTGTCGAGGAAGCGGATGCCGCGGTCGTCGCTGGCGGTGATGGTGACGGGCTGCGAGGGGTGGCTCACCACCTGGTTAACCTGGCTGCCACCTGGGGGGGGGGGGGGGTGTGGGGCGGGGACATATGTCAGGATCAGGCCCCGCCCGGAGGTGACAAAGGGGACACAGGGCGGGGGGGACACTCACCCCCACCCGGCCGGGCCTCCAGCACCAGAACGGGCCGAGCCGCCTCCACGTCGTACAGAACGACGGCGCCCGTCCGGAAAGCCGCCACGGCGTGACCGGGTTGGGTGGCCGAGAAGGTGACAGAAGTGGGGACACCGTGCTCTGTGGGAAAGGGGGGGGGTGTGACACGGATGTCCCCAAGCCCATAGGGACAGCCCCTCTGCCCGGCTCACCGCTCTGAGCGTCGTAGGTGCTGAGGCAAGCGCTGTCCTCGCGCCGGGGGTCCCAGATGCGGACGGTGCCGTCGGCGGAGCAGGAGGCCAGGCGGTCACCGGCGGGGTTGAAGCTCAAGCCCCAAACGGCGTCACCGTGACCTTCCAGGACACCGCTGAGCACCCCGGGGTCTGGGGACATCGGGAAACGTCACCTCCAAGAGGGGACGGGGTGGTCGGTGGGGCGCGACGGGAGCCGGAGGGGTTGGGGAAAAGAAGCGGGGGGGGGGACGCTGCGGCCGAAGGGGTTGGGGAGCAGGGGGGTGGGTGGGTGTCACCTGCGCCCCTCCCTGTCCCCACGTCCCTGTCACCGGGGAGGGGTCACCCACCGTAGCCGTCGTAGGGGTCCATGTCGAGGTCGGGCAGGCGCCAGCGGCGGATGCGGGCGTCCACGCCGGCGCTGCAGCACAGGGCGCTGTCGCGACCCATGGCGACGGCGAGCACCGGGCCCCTGAGGGGACAAGGACGAGGTGACAGGGAGCCCGGGGGTGTCCCCAGAGCCACCCCGCTCCCCCCCCAGACTGGCTGGTGTCCCCCCCCAAAACCCCAGCAGCCCGGTCCCCGTCCCCTACCTGTGCCCGCGGAAAGCGTACACCGGCTCCACGTCCAGCGCTGCGTTCCTGGGAAGGGGACAAGAGCAGGGGGTGACAACTGCACCGGGGCGGGGGGTGTGTCCCCATCCCTGCCACCCCTTTGTCACCCACTTTTTGGGGGCGACGGGTTTTTGGAGGTTCCAGAGTTTGAGGGTGCCGTCCTCGGAGGCGGTGAGCAGGGCGGCCTCGGCGGGGTGGAAGGCCAGACCTCGCACGGCGTCGTAGTGGCTGCGCAAGGTGAATTTGGGGCTCCACGTCTTTTTTAGGGCGTCCCGGCCCTCTGGGAGCTGCGGGGACACGAGGGGGACAGTGGCAGGGGACGGTGACCAAGGGGTGGTGGCACCCCGCCGTCCCGGCTGGGGCTTGGGGCAAGTGGCTTTGGGTGGCCGGAGGGCAAAGAGAGGATGGGGGGGGACCCAAAGGGACGGGATGGAAATCAGGGTGGCTGAGGGTGGGGACATCACGGGGGACTGTGGAGCCCAGGGGACCCTCAGGGCAGGTTTGGGGACACCGTGGGGACAGTGGAGGCCAGGGGACGCTCACGGCCACATTTGGGGCCAAGAGAACCAAGGGGACACTCAGGGCAGGTTTGGGGACACCACGATGGCCAGCGGAGCCCTGGGGGGATGCTCGGAGGAGGTTCGGGGACACTTTGGGGATAACAAAGCTCAGGGGACCCCTCAGGACAGGTCTGGGGACACCCTGGGGACAGCAGCAGGTGACTCACGTCGCAGCTGAGCTCGTTGTCGTTGGTGACGGTCAGGTCGGCCAGGTCCCCCAGGCTGACGGCGCCGCCGCCGATGCTGTCCATGATGAAGACGTCGGAGGTGATGCCCAGAGACCCTGCGGAGGGGAGCAGCTGGGGGTGGCGGGACGGGGACAGGGACACCCCCAGGGGACACGGGGACCCCCCCTCGGGGGGATGGGGACCCCCAGGATTGTACCTTCCGGAGGTCGCGGTGGCCCCGCAGCGGCGGGTTTAGGGGGGAGCCCGTCCACGTCCCGCAGGTCGGCCAGCATCCCCCGTAGCCGGCCCCGGCGGCTCTCTGCAGGGATGTGGGGGGGTCAGGGAGGG